TGCTTTCGCGACTTTTATAACGGAACTTTAATCGGAAATTTACCACGTTCGCGACGGATCAGGGCACTGATTTTAATTCAAATCCGATCGGTTAGCCCATCCGCAATATTATACGCCTCGAATCGGAAAAGACGCAGTTTCCGATCGGGGGAGGCAAACAAAATCAAGCTGCTGGAGCGCGCGCGAACTGCTTGGCGGTGGGCACGTTTATTTAGCAATTATAAAACCAAAAACAGCCTATTTGAAACTATTTTATTAAGACCTTTATAGTATTTACACTTTCTCTTCCACATCCGCTTGCGTTATGACACTTCCGTTACATCACTACTATACACTGTACGCTGGTGTTCTGTGGCCGAACTACACTCAGCGCTCCCTTAACGCTCTGTGTGTGCAGTACAGCGCCTTCAGGGCGCTGTTGGGTTTGTCACGTTTCTGCTGTGCCTGACCCACGTTCACTGATGTGCACGTACACAGTTTCATGGCCATACTACTGTTAGTACGACGTGAAATGATCTGTTTCAGCCACATCCATGAAAACTTTATAAAGCGTGTTACGAGGGCGACACTGGGGAACATCTAGATGAAGGATTCATGGGGTAGGGCTGTCAAAACGAGCAATAACAACATCGTTGAGTAAGGCCATAGCAAAAAGCTTCCTTATATCAGAGACGCTAAAAATACTGAAATGCCAACCTTCCTTGACACACCAAACTATTTTTAAGTTTTTTTTATGCCATTGAAGCGGCCAAAGTTTAGTAGCAATAGAGCTCCTTACCTATTTCTGCCGCCGAGCAGTAATATCAGTATTACTGTGTTCCGGTTTTGAATGGTAAGGATGCTGGTAAAATTACAGGCACATGAAACTTCTCTGTCTCAGGATGATGGGCGCAGTGGCAGTGCCCCTCAGATCTTTGCGATTTTAAGCTCTGAGTAGCACTGCAACTGTTAGGAACTGGCGTGTAGCTGCCATCGGGCGCATGACTTGTTTATCCCTCTTCACTTGATATAAAAAAAATAACAACTCCAAAAAAAATTTTTTTTTAAATTAAAGCTATTTTTATCAGATGTGAATCGTGTAATATTTGTTTTTTACAGGTCCCTTAGTCATGCCTAATTGTCAGCAATTCATTTTCCAAGTGTAACAATCGCAAAATCCTGAAGGTGCTCCCTCACCGAGAGCATTCGCCTGTAATAAAAATCCAAGGTTCGATTTTGAGCATTACGTTACAATAACGCCTCACTAACTGACGAGCATTCGCTAGTAGTCGAATCAGTTGTTTTTACAATGTCCCAAGCGTCTTGACTTGAAATTCGTCGTGATATTAGTGACTTCAAGTTTTTATTAAAAATGGCATCGGGCTCTATTGACTATGCCCGAATTGCTATCACCATTATCACTGAGAGTTCCCTCATCTTGGAAAAAACTTGCTTTTGGTTCTACCTCCGGCCCGAACTAACTACAGGCAAAATGAGTTTGTGTGGCGTGCAAGCAATAATTTTAATATTTTATGTAATACTTTTGATCTTGACGCTTTGACTCTTAATATGACTTTCAACTTCTGTGGTTTTTCTTTTTTTTATATTTTGTATAATAATAAGTTAGGTAAATTGTGCACCCAAATTTCTTATTATATTTTTACTTGTGAGATCTTTAACTGGCTCACATTTGTTACTATTATTATTTAATTTAGTTTTAAGCAGTTTAAGTATGTTGAGTGTATGCGTTAAAAAAAAAAAAAAAAAGTTAATCTTCCTTTAAATAAATAAAAAAATATATAATGTTGAGTATCACGAGGATTCCATAAATTGACACGGTATTACAGTTAGAAATAATGGACCGTGAAAACTAAAGTAATTATGAAAATAATAATAATAACAACAGGATAAAAAAATATAAAAAATACATTAATATAATAATAATACACTCAATTCCCTAGCATCCATCATTTCACAGAATCTCAAACAGTCACAACGCACAGCCGCCCATCGCCACGCAAGCAGCGTAATGCCGTGATTTCCCTATATTTTTCAATTATTAGGGTTTTCTCTTTGCCTCAGACCATTTTTAAATTTAGCCCAGAAAGCAAAAAAAAAACGATTTCACGTACAGGTGCGTTCACGTCCCGCTGCCGATGCCGTGCCGTCTAGGTCACTGAGCCTGCGCCGCGACACGTTCATTACAAGTGGTGCGAGTTGATGTTAGAAATTGTATCACTGACCTCACACTACTACTGGAATGTTACAAATTGTATCATTACAGGTTGCTTACTGTAATGCTCGGTTCTCCTCACTCACTGATGTAATGCTCGAATTTGAACTGTTACACTGCCTCCCGTTCACACGGTGTTTGTCCTGGATAATCTCAGTACTAAAAAACCGACCTCAAAAGTACGTGGAATTACATATAATTACCAAGTTTTATTGAAATCGGCTACCAGAAAGTACGCAAACCTGGATTCATCCCCTAGTTCGCCACTATACGGGACTTGACACAGGAGATAATAAAAATCGGTTCTCACTACTCAAAGTATATTGTGAGCGAGAAACGCCTTGAATTGGAGAATAGCAAAATTAGCCATTAAAATAATTGCTCCTTATAATAAATAGCATATTGCTATTTATAAAAACGAATCTTCATGCGTGAACAGCCACCCTTAGAGGAGGTCAAAGTCAAAG